TTTACTACATTATTACCTCTACAAAAAAAGGTTTTTTTGACGTGACAACGTCTTATAAATTGGTTTGCCGGGTGACACTTCAAGAAACTGCGTTACGCTTCGCTCACGTTATGCGCTCACAATGAGAGCGAGTGAGAGGCACGCGTCCCTTCCACTCGGGCATGGTTAGCCCGCCTAAGAGCGAGAGAGACAGACATAAAAAGTGAAAGGCACGCGTCCCTTTTTTAAATATAATTCTTTGTATAAATAAATGTTTTAAATTGTTACTATTATTTCATCCTTCTTCCTACTATACGAATGAATATTCACATTTTTCATGTTCAAGAGAATAAAACACAAAGTCAGTCATCATGATTACAAAAAAAAATATCATCATCAACAGGTTTTAACAGTCCACTGCAGGACATAGGACTCTCCTTAGAAAGGACAACTGTAAGTTATATACTGCTAGCATAATCTTCTCTCAATCGCTTGAACCGTGTACCAATAAAACTATACAATTAAATGAGAACAAACTAATGTGAACTCAATACGGTTTTATGCGAACTGAGCTAAAAAAAACAGGTACTATGTAATAATGAGCACAACGCTAGAACGACAATGACGCACGCCATTCATACGTCGCAATAGAACAATGAAAATATTGAGTCGTTAAGCGAAGAAAAGTAATTAATTGGCGAAAAACTAAAAAACAACCACATTTTGGAATAATTGGTGCATTCCACAACGGCGTGGCTGTTAATGTTCTCTTTTAATGATGTTCAATAATTTAATGCAAACAATAAAGATCGTAATAAGTAGACTTAAGTAATTAAAAATTGAAGACGTATTCGGTCCTAATATAAATCACTAATTCGGAAGATACGGAAGTAAAAAATAAACTCTTTCTGCTTAATCTGCAAATCAATACAATCGATATCGTTTGAATTTCCAATATAAACGATGATGTACAAATCAAACTTACAAACTACCTGTCAAACCAATGAAGCAATCTATTATGACGTAAGAATGCTCAACTACAATAAAAAACTAATATATCGCCATACCATTTCCCCTCTCTATCATTAGTGATGCGAACAAAAAATATTTAGGATTCGATTCCCACATCGATAGCTTGCTCTTGACAATTGTCAATTAAAATTCGCGCAATAAAGTCTTCATTACATTTGGTTTTACTTACTTTTTGCTACTACTACTACTCCTATTAAAATATCTACAGTAAATACCTTTAAAGTATTTTACGGAGGCATTATGTTGTTTAATAATAATGCATTTAAAAATTATATTTTAGTTAAACTAAAAAACACGCTTTAGTGGTTAACCGAATGTAACACTCGTCAACAGGAGCTGGACGAACCCAACTTGAGTGGTTTACCCGCAGCCACTGAAGATTTCCACTTTCTGGAGCCATCATCAGATAAGCTGCTTCAATTTTTGTACCATCATCTTCACTATTTATTTGTACATACAAAGGTCTACTTCAAATCAACGGTTAGGTTAAATTTAACTGCCTTAACATTTAATTAGGGAGTTACCATTAAAGATAATAAAAGTGTGTTAAAAAAGCTTCGAGAAGTAAATGAAAGTAATCGAAACGACATCATATTAAAGAACAACAGAAATGGCAGCGCACTTATTACTTGTCTTCGTTAACTTACAGTTATAGCACTTTAACCAATAGACCCGTCACACTTAACGAACATTAGAAAATATCTTTATTCAGCAATAAACAGACGTAGCAAACGAACCATTGAATGCATAAAAATTGACTCACTGTCAGAGAACGATTAATGACAGCAAAAAGAGCTAAACCCATCGTCAGTACTCGAACATCGAGTGAAGGTACTCGGTCATTGCATCAGTGCGGTAGTGGCGGGGTATCGATGACGGGATGACAGTATCACAGCTAAACCGATCGTCCACCAGCCAGGGCACTATATCAATCACATGGCCTACAATCGTACCGCACGCCACTTAAATAAATTTATAACATATTAAGTACGTTGAAAATAAACACTTTACGGTTTATGATTTATTTCGTGGTATGAAATATGGACGTCACTTATTTAACGCTAGACAGAGATGGCACGATCGATGTTATCTCAATCTGTTGCGATTTTACATGCTACGGCTACCGATAAACGTTTTATTATAGTAATTAAAGCGACCGATTAGATTTCGTACGTGTTATGCGTCCAAACATTTGATAAATGTGTCATTTTACACAGTTAATCTGTACACCATAATATATCTTTACTAACTGAACGTCACGCTATAGTGATGTCGTAATTTTAAACAGAAAACTTACGAAAGTGCAAGAAAAGAAAATGATTCTGAGGATTTTACTTAATCGATATATAATTAGATTATTTGACAGCCCTGTATAAAGGGATCTACATAAAACCATGCTGTGCTGCTATCATAATCATCATCATAGTAAACCAATCATTATGAAAATGTTCATATCCGTTATCAGGAGTACAGAAAACGAAATAGGATACCTCTGATTAGAAAAAAACTACTGTCCTAAAAAATAACTGGTAGATAGATTCTAGAGTAACTCTTTAAAAATCGCGTGCAATCTATACTAATATTATAAAGCTGAAGAGTTTGTTTGTTTGAACGCGCTAATCTCAGGAACTACTGGTCCCATTTGAAAAATTATTTCAGTGTTAGATAGCCCATTTATCGAGGAAGACTATAGGCTATAGTCTTCCTCGACTTATAGACTATATCATCACGCTAAGACCAATAGGAGCGGAGCACCAATGAAGAATGTTTCAAAAACGGAGAAAATTTATTACTATTGAGAGACGCAGACGAAGTTGCGCGGGTCAGCTAGTATACTTATAATCTTACCGTATTTTAGTGAACAAATAAATAACGACAAACTAAAACATTTATTACTAAAATATAAAGCAGTATAAATGAAGAACCTATGCCAATAATTATATAAACTTTGGTCAGGTTCTTCCATGACACTGGCGTATCGTACTCGTATTTATCTGAGCGAGGTCCCGCGGGTCGCCGCCGTTTCCACTTATAAATGCAATTTAATTTCAATAATTATAATACAATAAGTCTTTGACTGATAAATAATCTATATATGTTATGTTACAATATTACAGAGACAGATAGAAAAGTCACAGATCATGTTTTGTTGCTTTAACATCGCAATTCCAATTTATTTGCAATACGATAACGTATTTATTCAAACGTCATACCTTTTTAAATGACATATAATATAATAAAAATCAATTTAAAAAGTGAAATTGAAATTGCACGTCTTTACAAAGTCACATCCGGTGGAACCGAGAATGTGAAGACATCAAAGTTATTTTTTTAAATTGCATATCGGCCGCAACATGTCAACGCCTATTATACTTATTGTACGAAAAAAATTAAAAAACCCACAAAGACATGTCAGTATCATAATTTTGTAATAAATTACATGGTGTTTGATTGTCGGTTTTTACAGATTACCAGTTTTACGAAGCCCCGAATTGTTACAAAATGACTCTATTTTTCTTTTTTTGTGTCTTTCGAATAATAGGTATTAGTGTCTCGATATGCCTCGTCATGTTATTATAGGCCGCATAATGAAATATAATTTTTATAAATGTAGCAACACTTTCTATTTAGTGTTGCCATTTTATACAAGTGTCCTTCCAAGAAATTTCTTTCAATTTAAGTAAAGACAACCACTTTTTTTCACGGACAAGGGTTTTGAAGGAACCTTTTTTTTTGTTTCTACACATGGGGTCGTAAATCAGCTTTGTCGTTTAAATATTACTATATCAGTTTCGTCTCGCTCTCATTTTTATTACTTCCTTTGTTCTATTATAAATCTATTTTAACCGACTTTAAACAGGAGGATTTTTGTATTTTTGTGTTACAAAATATCTTCGATACTTAAAAAATTATGACACAATTGTTGTAAGAAATAAGTTGAATACCCAATCTTACATCTTTAGGAATTCCTTATCTTATCAAGTCCTTGGCTAGTGAAAATTAAAAAGAAACAACCCGACTCAAATCGATTACGATCATTCGAAATTTGATTTATAAGTACGCACAAATTCGATTTATCGGAATCAATAACAAAACGAGACCCGAGTGCGTAAACAATCGGTAATCTGTATAACTCGATGCCCATATTAATGTATTTACCATTACTAATTACAAGTTTATAGTTGTTTAAGGCATTATGGCGTAGAAATTACCGCTACTGATTAACTAGCCTCCATCTTGTATATGAATGACGTTTTATATAGAAAAAGTTATGCAGAATTTTCATGATGTGCATACTTAGATTTTTTTAATATGCATTGAACTAAAATTATTAAGAAAATAAGGAGACAAAATCATCTAATCATTAAATGGAAGTCACTTTTACATTACCTGAACTTTTGCTGTGCTTTTTGTTTATGGTCATGACCAATTTACTTTCCTATGTTAGTATGAAAACCCTCGTATCTACAAACCTAATTCACGCGCAATAGTCAAAGTCACGTATATTTTAAAACTGTTGTTATAAGACCATATATTACTGCAATGTTATTTTAATTTTATAGCATTATAATCACATTTTAATTTTAAGTTTCAACAGCTGTAAACACTTATTACAAAATTTACTTTTACAAAACAACTAGTGACATCAATACTACTAGGTACTAATCCTTTCACTAACATTAAATATTTGTTTTATTTTGTATAAAACCACTTAGTAATACATTTTTATTAAGGGAGATTTTAATTTGTAATATGGCAACCCAGTGTACTTTTTTTTCAGTTAGGCACTAGCAGCAGGTGTGACGATCCAACTTATGTATTTTAACCTTCACGGAATAATTTTCGTTCAGTCATTTTGAATACATTTATGGTCTGTATTGTTTAGAATATTTTTTTTAGTACTTGTATAGAACTTGATTTTTTTCTTATTAACATTTGAATTCAGAAACTGTTTTCTATTGAATTTGAATTTCGAATATCATTCTTACCTGTTTGCTGAAGACTGCAATGTCCTCATTGAAGGACTCTGATGAACATACGTCTCCCCCCGCCACGCCAGGATCCCGGGGGGTGCACGTCGCAAGTTCGCACTTTTCAAAGATGAGAGCCAGTAGGGGGAACAATGGGTGCCTGCAATGTGAATAAATAAACTGTTCAATGCACTTTTTTCTAATTTTTTTCCTAACATTAGTATAAAATTAAAGATTGTATAATTAAAATGTAGGTTTATAATAAGTAGGTTAGTGTTTAAAGTTTTCAATTTCAAGAATTTTAAGCTACATTTGAATAAATTATATTTTGTAGAGCATAATTACGTTAGTAACTTAATATTACAAAACATCATTACGACTTTAATGTGAAGTATCCGCCTTTTAAATTACATAAATAGCTTAACGAACGTACTTTATTTATGTACTTTTAGAAAACGCATTTTTACCTTTTCTGAATAAATAGTCATAAAGCTATACGAGTATATGACAAGATAAAAGCAAACTTATGGTCCAATTGACAGCGACCTTTGCGCAGATCAGGTGAGATACAGACGTGCACGTGACAGAGATATCATCAGCTTTATAGTTCTTTAAAGTATGCTACTGTATAGGGTTTGGTGTCACTGTCAGCGAGAATAGGAAGACTGCACTTTGAAACTTGTGTTTAACTCAAAACTTTATAATTCAAGAAAGCCTTTTTAACTACTTGTCTTCTGGTACGTGGTACTAGTATAAATATAGGTAAAAGTATCAGAACTTTTCTTTTTATTTAATGAATAATTTCGTCTCGTACCGTGGCAGACCCTTGCTTCAGCCTATTTGAGCCGGCTCGGCCGGAGTGATACCAAGGCATCCTATAGGCTTTCGTTTGCTTTTCATGGAGTGAGTGAGGTCACCGGAGACAGGCCAAAGTTTCTAAATTCTGAGAAGAAGGTCACTCAAAGGGATTCACTAGTATCTCTGAAGTCGCATGTGTCAATGCACTACTATCTTTGGAGTTGCAAGTCTCCATGGGTGGCGCTAGTCCCTTCACATCACATCACATCAACAGCCTTTAATAGTCCACTGCTAGACATAGGCCTCTCCTTAGAAAGGAGGTTTTGGCCTACTATACCACGCTGGCCAGGCGGATTGGTATAGGGTTTGTGTCAAGTTTTCCTTCTTTTTGCAGTGCTGCTAGTCACTTACTATCAGATAACCCTAGACCATAAAAAGTCTTTACTTGCACATTTCAAGTATAAATGGCTTTCTTTTACAAATATAATTACGGGTATGTTTTATCGAAGTTGTTAATACAAAGATAACATAATATTTATGATTATTAAATCCCTCAAAAAGCTATCTACAAAAACTAGTGCAAAGAAATAACAATCAAAAAAGGAACGCAGTGTTTGTAACATTTTTAAATTATAAATGTATTAAGTATTTGACCAACCGGGTGTGACGTAATAAATTGTTTCCGTTCTGCACATAACTAAGGGATAACAATGTTACCACGTGTAAAATGAATTTATATGTAAAATGTATAACGTATCGTGGTATCATTCCGTACTTAGTTGTTTAAAAAAAGGTGTGATTTTTATTACTTTTTCTTCACTCGATTGTATAGTAAATAAATGTTAGTACAGTTGCGTAATTAAAATTGAGCTCAAGGAACTTCGGTTAGAATGAGAGCACCAAAACTGTCTCTCTCTTACTGCATGAAGAAGATAGACTTGACCTCACGTTTCAGGCACATCTAGTATCTTAAATACAAGTAGAGAATGCTAACCGTTTACCATCAGTCTAGTCACTTTTTGAATCGTTAATATAATAAACTTAAGTCTCCTAGTAGTCTGGCATTGGAACATAATCTACTTTTTACACCTATTTTTATCTACAAGCGTTTAAGGGGTCACCTCACCGATTTCTACTAAACCGAGTGTTGTGGGTTCGATCCCCACATAGTACAACACTTTGTGTGATCATGTAATCCACAAATTATTGTTCTTAGTCTGTGTCCGTTTCGTGTATGTTTGCAAATTCCCCCGTGGCACAGGACATTATTAATACATAGTGAGGGAGTAGTCTTCAAAAAAATCATAAATGTCGTCTAGTCGTAAATAAAATAAAATATCTTAACTTCGTACAGAAAACGGTGTTCAATGCTAAGGAACTCTACAGCTCCAAACAAAAAACTAATAAACATATAAATTTTACTTTGATTGCAAACTGATCATGCGAACGGCGCAAAAACTATTTATCTCTATGTGTTTACTATTACGTTGGAATTACCTTCGGTTAATACTAAAAAAATTATCATAAAGAAAATTTATTTTTTATTTATTAGAAACTATATAATAACACTTGACGGGCCTGTTGGTCTAGTGGTTAGTGATCCTGACTGCTGAACCGGAGGTCGTGGGTTCGATTCCCACCCAGGACAAATATTGTGTGATGAGCACGGTCATTTGTTCTGTGTCTGGGTGTAATTTCTCTATAATATGTATGTATTTAGAAATATATAAGTATGTTTATCAGCGGTTTGGTTACCATAGTACAGGCTCTGCCTAGTTTTGGATCAGACGGCCGTGTGTGTGTGTGAGAAAAAAAAAACTTTTATTTAATGGTGTACACGTGAAATAATGCTATTGTATGTTTTTGTTTGTATTTAAAAATGACGCCTTTAGTGTGAATAATGTTTTTGATATTTGACAAAACAGAGATTGTTGCTAGTGTGTGTGTTGATCTACGACTTTACAGTCTACATATAAGAAGTTTTCAAACAATTTTCTTTTTTATGAAATTAAGATATTTTGCATGTAGATTTTGAATTTTTAATAGTTTTGTTTTCGCCATTCATTGATTCTCCCAAAACTCTATACATAAGTAATACTTTTAGAAATTAAGTTTTAATCACTTATGAATAGTCTTTTCAAGTATTGAATTTTCAAAACTTCAGTTACATATTACGCATCCATACACAACAGTCACACAAATGAAAACTGCTTTAGCACAAGTCATCTTTGTACTTCCTTAATTTCCCAAAATACGCCGCTCGCTTACAGTCAGACCAATCCCAAACTTAGCTTTGTCAGTCGCTAGCAATCGCACCCCATAACTATGATTGTCATTCCACCGCAGAGAGAATCACAGTACTCTCAAGTTTCTCAACTTTGGATCAGATATAACAAAGATGGTTAGATCAGTGTCAAGTGTGGCGCCTGGCCTATCTGCCATCTCTTTGAGGAGTGATAGAACTTCGACAATTGGTGACAAACAATATTGTTAAAATAAAATGAATAGACGACAATGCTTAAAGACTTACTTTTGCCCGCCGTTTTAAAGTTCCCTTCTTGCCATAACAACAGTACTTTTTTTCTAAATAAACCCTTTCTGTACCAATGTACAACATACAATATGTCTATGTAAAATGATGGTCGACTGAATAGTTAAGCCATTAAACGTCGGCATTTTTTATGGGCTAACAGTGCCAATATTGAAAATTACAAAGTTATCTGTCATCTTGAGATTGTAATTTTGACGTTTGTTATGCATTGCTTCCCGCTTTTTTTGTGTTATCATCCGTCAAACATGATAAATTCAATCGTAAGATTTTCTACTCGTGTCAAGTGGAAACTGACGCGATACCAGCCATTAATGTAATGCATGATTGCCTCTAGAGTTGGAAAATGTTTAAAGATCACGGTAACATCGGTTCTTATCGGTTGTTACGTTATTTGACAACTTTTTTTTTTTTTAACTGGCCTGTTGGTTATTTTATCAAAAGTTATTGCTAAGCTGGCGGCTATCAATTATTTATTGTTTCTGGGTAATAATACCCTATAAGTACATATTTTATCATTAACAGCCTTTAACAGTCCACTGCTGACATAAGCCTCTCCTTAAAAATAAGGTTTTCGCCTACTATACCACGCTGGCCAGACGGGTTGGTAAGTTTGTTTCAAGATTTCCTTCTCTTTGCAGTGCTGTTGTCCTGTTTAGTTTGCTCCCTTAGTCGGCTTTTGCGAGATCTAGGGGATGAATAGGGGTGGTGACATTCCGTATTCTTAATCCGTCACGACACGGACACATCCCATATTTTATAAGTAATTAAAAATATATGAGTATGTTTATCAGCAGTCTGATTAGTATAAAACAGACTCTGTCTAGTTTGGGATCAGACGGCTCTGTGTGAAATGTGTCAAACTATTTTTTTTTAATGGGATGGTTGGTATGTTAAAACCGTTTTTATAATAACTAAAGTACCTTAAATACTACGAAAACGTTTACATTACCACCGGGACTCACCCGTAAATAGCGTCTTTGTCTCTCTTGTGGACGAGTGGCTCTCCTGGTAGAGCGTGGGCTGGCGCTGCAGGCGGTGGGTAGTGCACTGGCGGAAGGTGCGGGTGGCTCAGTCTGTGCTCGTGGTACATTGCGCCCCCCTCCATATAGCCTCCTCCGTGGAGGCTTTCGTCGTACTACAGCAAAAAAGAACACGTTAATAATATTTGTAATGTCACAAAAAAAAACGTAACCCAACACTAAAAATTGAAAATGAAACAAATTTGAAAAAAGAACAAGAATAAACAAAAAAAAAACGTTCGAATATAATTTAAATTCAAGCTCACCCAGCAGTACAGTCGAATCACCAAAAAACATTGTACATGTACCTACAAGGCAACAATAAAACGACCACCTATAAAACCCACCTTATCACATCCAAAATCAGTTTAAAACTAAACACTTCCTATAGACATTCTCGACAATTAAAAATATAAAAGAAAAAAAAGAAGTTTGAATATTCATGAAAAAATGTATAAGTCATTGCGATGGCTATCTACATCAATGCTGAGCTTCAATTAAACACCACAGGCCTTTTAGAATGCGTGCCTTTGCTTTTAAGAAGATTAGTGCGTGAAAAAAAACTTGACAGGCCCTCTTGTGGCTCTATTGTGTACTACTTTTAATGACAGATCGTAAAACATATATGAGTATGTGTTTTAATTCTTGAGGTCATCAATTATGAAGTACCTGGATGATGGAGCTTTGCTCAGTATTTTTTTTCGTAATTTTTTTAAAAATGAAACCTAGCTAGATCGATTAATCGCCCCCAAAACCCCCTGCATAGTAAATTTCATGGAAATCGTTGGAGCCATTTCCGAGATTCAGATTATATATACATATAGGTATATATATATACATATATATCCAAGAATTGCTCATTTAAAGGTATTAGATATATTTATATATATATAGATAGATTTTAAAATGGAATATTCAAATAAAAAAATTCGATACTTCATAGACTTTAGAACACGTAGATATATAAAGACGTTGTAAGTGTGTTAAAATCCTTATGTTACGCATAATATGTAATCTTTATGTAAGTCAAAGGGTACATAACATTGAAATTTGTGTTTTTCTTTTAAACAAAGACATGTAGGCACAATCATTTCTTAATCTTAGCCTGTATAATTAAATTAAAGTGAACATTGACCTAAGTAAACGGCATTGAATTTATTTCTGGCATTTATTGTATTTTCTTGCGCCTGACTAATAATGTGAATAAGGATTAGTAATGAATTGAAATGAATGAATTTTATTCCTCATATAATTCATGAATAATTATATAAGTAGGCCAAAACCTCCTTTCTAAGGAGAGGCCTATGTCCAGCAGTGGACTAGTAAAGGCTGTTGATGATGATGATTATATAAGTAGCTTACTTCCGATGGCTAACTTTATATTTGTTTAAAAAAAAATTACAGTGAAAGTTTTTGAATTAAATTATCATAGATAAATTAGACTTTAAAATTGAAAGTCGCTATTTTGGCTAGATGATGAAATTATGAAAGTTATTGCGCCTAGTTACTTTTTTTTTATAAGTATATATGTATTAGCCAAAAATATCTTTCCGATTCGTTCCTTATCATCGTGGCCTACGTACTACGTGGCTGGCACCATTGCTACACAGAACAGCAATCCTAAATCTGTATGTAAGAAAAAAAAAACGCCTTTTGGTCATGTGAAGTGCTGATCATTCGCTTATAAAAAGCTACTTCTTACCAAAAACTGACCAGCAGACCGGGCTGATCATTTTAAGTACATTTATTCCTAAAACACATTTATAATTAAGAGAAAGAAATATATTTTTTGTATAAACCGTGTAACTTTTCTGAGTCTACGTTATAATATACGCGGCGGTAGCCTAGTGGTTAAGGTATTGGACTTGCGATCAAGAGGTCGTGGGTTCCAATCCTGACCAGAACACTACCAACGCGAACCCACTCCTAACATAAGCAATTTAGCTTGGCTGGAGGGGTTAACGGAAATACTAGTAATTTCGATTGCTAGTAAGCCTTTAAATATATATATATATAGTATAATATCACGTAAATAATAAACTCTTAAAACAAAGTGTTACGAGTTTAGATTTAACAATATTCAACAATCATTGTTTAAAACGATTTCTAAGTTCAATTCACTACTGCCACTCTTCATAAGCACATGTGCGAATACCCCACAATTTTGTGTCCTTACAACAAAGATGCATTAAAACCTTCATGCTCTGTATCAATATCGGCCATTTTGTGTTCCCTCCATCAAATAGGGTGACTATGCGTTTTGTTTCGATCGATAGACAGCCGGTCATTAACGCACCTTTGCCTTCTCCAATATATTTTTTTAACTCTGCCTTTTGAATACATTAAATGCTTTATTTGGTTGAAATATTGAGATGTTAAGGAAGTGTTTTAAGTCAGCCGCTAGTCATATTATGAGAAAAGAGCAAAATATACAGTTTTATTCATTGTAAATAAGTTAAGTTAAGTTAAGTTTAAGTTAAGTTAAGTTATCATATATGTTGATGTCAATAAAACGATACATATGCACGTACAGTTCTCTCATCAGAAAGACAAATGAGACGCCATTTTGTTTTTAAAAAATATCATATTATGAGGACATTGCTACAATTTAAGATTTTATTTCTGTATTGTAAATTTAACTAGGTAATATAGGTATTATTAGTAACTGTCTGAAAAATATTTTTCGAAAATTTTTTTTTCATAGTTAATTTATTTCAAAAGAAACGACGTATAAGAAGAAACTATAAACATTTTTGAAAATTGTAAACTTCGTATGAAAAGACAATATACCTGAGCGTAGAACATCCTACCATATAACAAAAAACCTGAGCAGAAAGGAAGAATGCTGAGGATTGATAGCAATGAAAGGAAAGTCCGTAGATAACTTTGGGATAGTCCTATATTCTTCAGCTCTATACAGTACAGTATATCTACTAGATAGGACATGTTTTCGAAAGTAACTACTGGTAGCACCAAGTTATTTGTCAGCCTTTAAATAAGAAGTACACTCTTTAAACACTCATTTTTAATACTTAAGTACTGTAATTTACTTTGATTTAAATATTTCGATGTCGATCTTGATTTTAGTAAGTAATAATTGTATATATTTTGAATCACTTGAAACATACCTAACTATATATTCATAATACCACTGTAACAGTGTTTTCTGCAAAAATAAATTTGATTTGATTTGATTTGAACTAAGATATTGAAGATAATTTGCCGTACCCTACCACGCATCACTGTAGCACATAGAAATCTTTGTAGCGGTTTGTATAAGGTTTAAATTTTTTAGTTCAATCGGTGCGAACATTAAGAATTTTTGAAGCGTACAAGCCAACTTAACATTTTTATTAATGACAAATCAATGAAATATAACAATAAAAATACATAAAAATAAAGATATCATACCTTAAGCAATTAATGGTTTGAATAAGTGTTTTAAAACTACACACTCCACAGTTTACAGGCGTACACAAATTTTCAAACAATATGGCCGAACACGTAATTGATATTAAAATACGAGAACAGTTCTAGGAACGAAGACTGCTTTACAAATGGATGTAAGAAATGTTTGCAAACTTTTTATAGTAAAATTCAAAATAAGTTGTTTAATATTTTGGCACACTTCATATGCAAATTGAAATTGTTTCCTTAACGGTCTGGTGGATCTTATTACACAACTCCAGCTTGTCTAAAAATGTTAGTTCATATAATTTGAAACACATGTAATACTCTAGGTGTCCAGAATGACATAATATCAGCTTTATAATTAAAAGTGTTATCCGTGTGGTGACGGATTAAGAATACAGAGTGTCACCACCCCTATTCATCCCGTGGGTGTCGTAAGAGCCGACTAAGGGAGCGAAATACGCAGGACAACAGCACTGCAGAGAGAAGGAAAACTTGAAACAAACCCTATACCAACCCGTCTGGCCAGCGTGGTATAGTAGGCCAAAACCTCCTTTCTAAGGAGAGGCCTATGTCCAGCAGTGGACTGTTAAAGGCTGTTGATGTGATGTGATGTGATAATTAAAAGTGTTAATATTTTAAAATCGAAACACAACACAGTAAAAATGAACTTAGCTATGAACCTTAAAAAAGTATATTTAATATTTCTAGGTTATTCTAAAAGCACCAAATGGAAGATAATTACTCCAAAATACATATTTATCAGTAGGTAAATTCCTATTGAAACTACCGCCGACCAACACCGGCCATTGACGCCTATAACTCGAGACTTACATGTGAGCTGCCACCTATTAAGATTCCCAATCTCCCAGAATCAGGTGAAGAGAAAGTTTGGGTTCCAGTGACCTCACTCACGCGACGAAATGCAATGAAAGAACTGCTTAACACCGGTTTTCTGTGAGGCTGAGGTATCACTCCGGTGGAGCTGGCCTATTTGCTCCGAAGTAGGGATAGAATAAAATAACAAACACATGTGATAGATCATATGATTTATAGATCATGTCTTCACAACTGTGACTGATTTACAATACCACTGTGACTTAATTATTATTATTACGCTATCGCAAGACTCGCGAAAGGTCTTAACCTTAAAAACGTAATTTTGGAAAAAAAAGTATTTTGATTGATTTTAATGTCATTTATCTTTGTCTATGACGAAATGACAATCACATGTGTGTCATTTCATCAAAGGAATATGATTTAAAAGTAGCAATATTTTCCGTGTCTGCTCCGAAGCGACTGCACGGATGGCGTAGTGATTGAACTGGTCGCCACGCCGCCTACTATTACGCTGAGTGTTGTTGGTCCGATCCCCATATGGGACAACACTTTGTGTGATCCACAAATTGTTGTTCTGAGTCTGGGTGTTCTTGGTGTCCGTTTCATGTATGTTTGTAAAGTCCCCCACGACACAGGAGTTCCAAATGCGGGAGTCGTCTTTTAAAAAAAAAAGAATGCCTCGGTATTTTCATAATATATTATAACTGGCTATAATGTCAGCCATTCTAGTGAAAACAAGGAACATGTATGCTTCATATGTTCTATATATGTAAAATGTATATATATATTTAGGTTTATTAAACTCGTTTGTTGCATATACTTTGATGTATATATTCTTTTGTATACCAGATCTTGTTACTGGCTT